TAAAACCTGGCTTTGCCGGCAGGCCTGGGGTTGATGAATTCCCCTCCCCTCTCGACTTGTGTGGTTTTGTAATTCTTGGCTATTTTAACTTCTTGTATTGTGTTCTATGTTTCCCTTTCCCCTTTGAATTGTTCGCCACCCTGAGTCCCTCCCGGAGAAGGGCGGCATACAAATAAAATAAATCTAAATCTAAATGTACGAGATAACAGGTATAAGTATAAACATGGACATGAACCCAGAAAACGGGTACAGATAAAGGGGGACAGTACGAGAGGGACGGTAGGCACATGGGTGCACTGACGCACATCCTTTTTATGGACCTCTTAGAAATGGGGTGAGGTCCACGGTGGACAGTTTGAGGTTGAAGCCATGGGAGTTTGAGGATGTAACAAGGGAGTCAGGTAGAGCATTCCAGGCGTTGACCAGTCCGTTGCTGAAGTCGTATTTCCTGCAATCGAGTTTAGAGCGGTTGACCTTGAGTTTGTATCTATTGTTTTCCCGTGTATTATTGAGGTTGAAACTGAAGAAGTCGTTGACAGGTAAGATGTTGTAGCAGATAATTTTGTGTAGGGCAGACCATAGGCAGCGTAGTTCTGGGTTGTCCAAGCCCAAAACACGATAAACACACAAAAAAACCCCATACATAAAGACATTCTGCTGGTTGTGATTTAAATCTCTTAGGGTCAGTCCCAAAAATTTCCACAGTTCTGAAAAAAATGGAGAAAGTCCACTTTCAGTGAACCCAAGAATCTTGAAGAAGAGGCCATTAAGAGAACCCCTTCTCCCTTACCCACTTCCATATCTTTGTTCTATATTTTGATTATTTCTAATTAGATTTATAACCCTCTTTTTTTGGTCACCTGAAAGGGAGGGAGAAGACAAAGAAGGCAGGTGACAATGAGAAAGAACAAAGACAAATCAAATTCATGCACATCACAATCGACACACAGGGAGAACACAGCCCAGTCATTGCAAACACAATGTGTAATCAGCTTGTAACAAAACACCAGCTCTACCCATCTATCTGATGGGTGAACGGGGCTAGTGCCATATAAAACCGCATTCATCAGAAAATGAAATCTTTTTTTAGAGAGAGATGCCTAACCAGTCTCTTCCTCACAGCCTGGCTGCATTATTTTCGGCTTATCTGCTTTCGCCACATGTCTAAAGATGATGTTTGAATAAATCTCTTTCTCCTGCTTTATTTTTTTTTTTAAAGAGGGGATGGTGTCCGATGGATTGACAAGACACCATTCTTAACCTGTTCTGACCCAGCTTTAGAAAAAGCAAGAAACAGACTCCTTGTCACACACAAAAAAACACTCTTTATTTACCTCTTGTGAATTAATGGCATTCACCCACCAAAAAGTATAGGCAATAGTCCTTCAAAGAGTTAACTGCAGTAACGGACCTCATAAGTTCTTTGCGATAATTGCAAGGCCACCGAAAGTTTGCAAATTAAGTTCTGGCAAGCAGGAAACACAATGAGAAAAATCTTCAGAAATACTAAGTGTTGTCTCCTACGACCACCACTCATCTTTCCTTCTATTTATTGCCCAGCCAGGAAGGGGCCATTCACTAGACACATGTGCTTTGCTTTCCAAGTCAACTCCTTGTCCTCCACTGTTCCCCTCTCCTAACAACTCTGTGCATACGTGCATCTGGAACAGGCCCCAGCTGTTCTACCTCCTCACTCATCTCAGCCTCCAAAGGCAGCTGCCTCTTCCAGTGGCTGGGAAATATTGGACAGACCTGGCTCTATCTCTGGGTTCGACACAGGGCATCCATCAGAGCCTTCCCCAGGCTCCAGAACTGGCCCAGGTTCCTCCCCAACCTCCTCATCGTCCGAGTCTGCCGTCAGCTCCACTGGCAGCAGGTGGGCCACAACATAGCCCAACAGCTAGATTCCCCCCCAAAAAAGGAGGTAACCTTGATGCCAGTTTGAAAATCTTTGTCCACTGAAAATCATTGAGTCATTTACACCTTCAGGTTTTACCTAGATGGCAGGTGTAGGCACTGCCCCTAAGATCACAGGGATGAGGCAAAAAAATATCTGAAGCTTTTTTTCAGTCCTAATGAGGTGCTAATGAGTGAAACGATCTTCCGTACTTTAGTGTCGTTTTGAGGGTAGGAGTTGAAACAATTTATGTCCAGGATGCGAGGGGTCTGTAAATATTTTCACAGCCCTCTTTTTGACTCATGCAGTGTACAGGTCCTCGACGGAAGGCGGGTTGGTAGTAGGTTGTGTTTTCTGCAAATCTAATTATCCGTTGAAGGCTGTGTCTGTCTTGTTTGGTTGCAGAGCCAAACCAGACAGTTATGGAGGTGCAGATGACGGACTCAATGATTCCTCTGTAGAACCGTGTCAGCAGCTCCTTGTGTAATTAGCAATTAGAACAGAAGAGAATAGAATTATGGAGTAGGAAGAGACCTTGCAAGTCATCTAGTCCAACCACTGTTATCATTTCAGACAGATGCCTGTCTAAACTCTTCTTAAACACCTCCAATGAGGGAGCACCCACAACTTCTGAAGGCAAACAATTCCACGGATTCATTGTTCTCACTGCCAGGAAATTTCTCCTTAGTTCTAGATTAGATCTCTCCAGGGGTGGGCTTCAGAAATGTTAGCAAGGGGTTCTGTGCCTAGTTGTTTGGTGGGCGTGGCCTAGTTGGCCTCCTGCACCATGGCATTTATCCTCCCCAGGCTCCGGAGGTTTTCTTCGAGCCTCCAGGAGGGCGAAAATTGCTTCCCCTTGCTCTGAAGGCCCTCTGGGGGCCAGAAACGGGCTCATTTCTAGCCTTCCTGAACTTCTGGTAGGGCTGTTTTTCATCCTCCCTGATTTTCCCTGTGCACCTTGTTCTTACCTGCATCCAAAACAGGCCAAATCTTCAGAAATCTGAACTGTTTTCTCCTACAATCACCACTCCCCTTTTCTTCTATTTATTCCCCAGCCGGGGAGGGGCCATTCAGCATTCAGAGGAGAGGCAGGATGAGCAGGGCCAGCCAGGAGTGGGATTTGGGGGTTCTCCGAACTATGCTGAATCTTAGCTAGAGGTTCCCTTGAACCCCTGCGAACCCCCAGCAGCCCACCCCTGGGGATCTCTCCTGCATTACCTGCTAAAAATAAGATACCCCCCACCCCAACAGCTCAGGCTGAAAATTGTGGTTTGGGGATTTAGAACAAGAGTTTGTTCCCAATTAACTGTAGCAGTGTAGTGCTTTAATTACAGAGGTAATGAAATTCAGCCATACTCCAGGGAGCTTCATGTATCATCACTCATAATTCATTGTTTACTCAAGGAACGAGCATTGATGTTACACTGAAAACAAACCTGTTTTAGGAAAAGAGTGGTAAATAATAGGGATGTTCCCGTTGAATCAAAGACTGTGTGGATCCAGGATACAGGTCAAAGCTGGCTTTCAAATCATGTATTTAAATTATGGTATCTTTCCAAATTAAGGTAAATCAATCAGAACAGATCTGGAAGGGACCTTGGAGGTCTTCTAGTCCAGCCCCCTGCTCAAGCTCTTGTCTGAGATGGTATAGGCCAGGGATCGGCAACCTTAAACACTCAAAGAGCCACAAAGGTCCTAACCAGAAGCCCCACATTCATTTCTGGAGCCGATCAGAAGTCCGGTTCCCCCACCATAGAGTCTCCTCCTAGCATGGCATCCTTCTTCCTCTACCTGTCCTAACCAAAGCCCCTATCAATTGTAGAGCCGACCAGCGACAGGGAGCCACAGCAGAGGGATGAAAGAGCCACATGCGGCTCCAGAGCCGCAGATTGCTGGCCCCTGGTATAGGTTCTCCTGCTTGAGCAGGGGGCTGGAGTAGAAGACCTCCGAGGTCCCTTCCAGCTCTATTCTATTCAAGCAAAAGACCCTGTACCATTTCAGATAAGTGGCTGTTGTCCAATCTCTTCTGAAAAAACGTCCAGTGATGGAGCACCCACAACTTCTGGAGGCAAGCTGTTCCACTGGTTAACTGTCCTCACTGTTAGGAAGTTTCTCCTTAATTCCAGGTGTCTGAATTTAGTCGATCCTGTTTGGATTGTCAATTTGATTTGGGGGAATGAGGGAGCAGACCTTTCCTATGAATTCTTTTTTTAAAAAACCACAACAATTGTTGTTACATTGAGGTGGAAGCAACTGCTTCGATCTCACAATCCAGACTACATCAATCATCTGTTTTGGAGATTCCAGATAGGAAGGGAGGTTTCTGTGCCAAATTAAATCAACCGGTCAATTAATGCATTTGATATTTCTGGTTTGTTTTTTTTAAATTGAGTGGTAACTTAATATGTCGCCCCTGTGCAGATGACGGGAATACCTACGGGAAAAATTACAAGCTCGCTTTTCACGCTCAAAGAAAACCACGGCTTGCTCTTCAGATCAAGGAAGTGGATGAATTTGGTAACTACAGTTCACCCCATTATAAAGGAACGGCCTTATTTTACAAAGTGACAAAAGACGCTGCCCTCAACAACGTAGAAACTCTTCCGCTAGAAGACCATGAACAAGATTCCTTCCTGTGCAAACTGGCTCTGACTTTGCCAAAAGTGAGTTGTTTCCTAACATGGGGATGTTATAATCTCTAGCAATTGTCAACTCATAAAGTTGCCATGGTGAGGAAAGGGAGTGGAGCGCATTCCATGCATATCTTTAGTTAGAGTCGGATCTCAGATCGCCACAGCAGGCTTGTGATGTGTGCACCTCATTGGTGAATGTTATTTATGACACAGATAGAAGGGAAGGAAGGAACAGGACAAAGTTCAGCCATAATTCAAACGAAGTTTAGATCTGACTCTAAAGCAGTATTGCCGAAATGGTGCTCCTAATAAATGATTGGGTTTCTTTTGAAACTTGGCTCGAGGCTCATGAATTAATTAGGGCATCTTTCTGAAACCTGACAGAAATATGCTGTAATACCCTGATGGTGAACCTATGGCAGGTCTGCCACAGGTGCCATGGGGAAAGCACTCTGTGGACACGTGAACTTTAACCCCAGCTCAGCTTCACTGCACATGCACACATGCCTCCTGCTGGCCGGCTGATTTTTGGGTCCATCACACAGGCAGGGGGGCGAGGCGCATGCGATAGACATGTGCACATGGGTGTGGGGCAGCGGGGAACACCTGCATGTGTGGGGGTGAGGGGAGTGCGGGGGTGTGATGCTCCCCCTGTGGCCCGTTTTTGGTCCCAGGAGGTTTCAGGGAGGCCTGCTAGGCCAAAACAGGCCACGGGGGCGGTCGAATGTGCACGCAGGGGGGAAGGGGAGTGTGGGTGGTTGCGTGTGCATGCACAGGGGGCGGGGTGCATGGGAAGGCAGGGGGAGTATGGAAGGTTGCATGTGCATGCACAGGGGGTGCACATTGCATTATGGGTTATGGCTTACGCAAGCATGCTGTCACGCACATTTGCATGCAACAACAATAAGGTTGACTATCACAGCACTAATAGTGTCTCAAAAGGTTCCTTTGCTCTCCATAAAAGAACTTCCANTGTCCCAGCTTCTGCCAACCTAGCAGTTCGAAAGCAGGTAAAAATGCAAGTAGAAAAACAGGGACCACCTTTGGTGGGAAGGTATCAGCACTCCGTGCGCCTCTGACGTTTAATCATGCCGGCCACATGACCAGGGAGACATCTCCGGACAGCGCTGGCTCTTCGGCTTAGAAATAGAGATGAGCACTGCCCCCTAGAGCCAGGAATGACTAGCAAGCATGTGCGGGGGAACCTTTACCTTTGCCATAAGTCAAACAGTCGCTAAACGAATCATTGTGAGTTAAAGACTGGCTGTAAATTATTTTTCCTTTCGTTTTTTTTTATTCCCCAATGGAATCTCCTTTGGCTTTGCAGGTGCATCAAAACACAGAGACTCCCAACTATTTCCTCCAACCTTAGTTCCCTCCTCCAACCATACTTTAAACAAAGTCCTTCTTATCATCACATAGTTTCTATTTTTGGTTCCTTGGCTCGGGGGGGCGGGGCAGGTGGAAAAACCAATATTTGCTGACATCCTATTATTCTTTCTCTGTGTTTCTACTTTTTCCCCATGACTTTATTTGCTTATCTTCATGTTTAGGCTTACATTTCAATTATCTGTAAACAGTTTGCGCCACTGTTTTTTTTATAAAAAAAAATATTGTTTTTTTCAAAGTCGCCAATAATAGCTGAGATGTATTTCGTAACTAGCCACAACGGAAGAGTTGAAATGAACGGAAAATGAGGCCCTTTAGTGCAAATTCTTTGGGTATTATCTCTGAGTATATGTACAATTCCACCCAACGGATTTTATGGCGACCTCTTGCAAAGAGCAGCTGAATCTTAAGTCGTAAAACCCAGCATGGATCCAGATTTTAATATGGAGAATGCACAACTCTTGTTAATATTGAACTAGCTGATAACCCAGTGTTGTCCCAATCCTCTATTACACAGGAATGGCGATGTCAAGTGGCAACAGTGGCTGTCCTCCCTCCTTCCATTAAATTCGCCACAAGTCCTGAAGAGACGAAGGGAAGAGCGACTTCTCCCTGAGCCCCGATTTCAGTCAGAATTAAATTAGTTTTAAAATGTTTTAAAATTGCGCCCCCAGAAGCGTAATTTCTAATGTTGGGTTTTTATTTTTATTTTTTGCCCTTACCAGTATTCCCTTGTGAAGCCATTAGCATGGCAACTCCATTGCGCTGTACAGTAAAAGCCATTTTATGGTAGGACAGGCTGTATCTTAACAGAACACACACCCAGAGGGGTGTTAGGGATGTCTTATCCCCACAGTATTTTTCTCCACAGAGTAAGTCATCTGTGTAGCAAATTTGGATGAAATTGCTCAAGGCGTTCCAAAGTTATGGACACACAGACACACAGACACACACACAATAGAGAGATAGAGAGAGATAGAGATAGATAGATAGATAGATAGATAGATAGATAGATAGATAGATAGATAGATAGATAGATAGATAG